AGATCTTATAATTTCCTTATTGTAATTTCAACTGCTCAAAGACAAAAGTCCTACCAGGAGAATTATTACTCCTGTTTCAAGTTCTTTTAATATTTTAGTATCTGGAAACCACTCTTTACCTTTCTCTTGATCACTATCAGCAAGAGTTCTGTGAATACCTCTTTGAGAACTTTTGTTATAATAGGTCATAGTGCACCTACCCTTATAATCATCCCTCTTTTCCATGTATGTGTACCATCCTTACAGTTTTCACCCCTTCATCCATCTCTGTGCACTTCCTTTCTTCCCCCCTTCTGTACCCTCCCCTCCTCTCCAAACCATTTACCCATCTTTCTTCACACAAAGGGCTTTGAACTTTTACCAAGCTGCTGATAATTCCCCAATGACTGAAGCTGTTAATCAAAAATGAACACAAAAGATTTTAGTGGGGCATTTCCCACAATAGAAGTCAGTCCTCCTGTTAACCTCACATAAGCAGCTGTAGAAGACAATGCTGGATTTTTTCCAGGATGCTGTTATTTCTTGTACCCTGTTTGATACTCCATCTTTCAATTCTTTAATTTAATAATGGGCAGCTAGAAAATAATTTATATTTTCTGCTTCGGAGAAAGAAAGTTTTTGGGGGGTTTTGTTTGGTGGTTTTGTTTGCTTGTTTGTTTGGTTGGGGGTTTTTTTATTCTTTTATTCACCCTGCTGTCTTTGGGCAGTAAAGATTGTCCATTGTGTAGTTCAGCCTGACTTGTCTTTTAACTGATGAGTAAGAGCACTGGGAATAACTGTACTGTTCCTCTTCCTCCTCCTCCTCAGTTTTTTAAAATAATGTTCTAAGGAGAATTGCTTCAGTTTCTGACTAGTGGCTCAGTCTATTATGATAAAATGATCCTGCTTTTTGTCAGCTACCTGACCTTCAGATCCCTGCCAGCGCAGTCCAGAAGTGGAAGAAGCTCTGTCTGGTTTCAGACTGTTTAGTCACACAATCAGCAGTGTCAAGCCCACTAGGCTGATCTGCCTGCTGCTTTTGGACCACAGTGCAGTATCAGAACACACTTGGTTCTTGTTTAGAAGAATTATTTTCTGTCAGTGTGATAACTGATAGCTGCAGGCAAGGCTTCCCGCTTTCTGCAAGAATGTTTATGGGTGGCAAAAGGGCCAACTCTGGTTTGACTTTATTCACTTTGTCCCTCTGCTGTGTTCTCTTCAGTGTCTGAAATGCAAATGATTGAGCAGATCTGATTCAGGTAGTCACAAGCATCTGGATATAAAAATTAAACTAATAATTCAATCAGTTACAGAGAAGTCCTCTTCTGATTTGTAGGCAAGCTGAGCATTCAGGATTTCTCTCTTATGCAAAGCTGCAAGTCTTGTCTTCATGCTAACACAGGAAAGTATTTTTCCCCGGTGTGGTAACTGATTTTTTCCAGGTAGTTGTCAACACATAGATGACAGATGGCATGGTGAGAAAAGGAATTTGTATTTCTTCTTGTCCCATGTAAGTGACATGACTTTCCCAATGGAACTGGGAATACACGTGTTTGTGGCATCTATGGGATTATTTAATATCTCTGGAGTTGTGAGTTGATACCTGTAGGTGATGCAAAAACTACAATTTGTCAGGCTGCTACTATTTGTTGGAAGGTTTGTTTTCCAATGTACTTGGTATGATCTGAGCCTTCATCTCCTTGAGCTGTTAACCAGGGTTTGAATGAACACCGAAAATGTGTTCTGTGCAGTGACTACTTCTGTTTTCTTTCTGATTGCCCCGATGGGTATCACATTATTTGTCCCAGTTATTTACCGTCTGTCCCTTTTTAAGGCTACGGTTGAATGGCAGGAATAAATAGAGCATATATGATCCCATGTGATAGAGGTTGCAGTCAGTGCAAACCATTCTTCTGCCATTGTCCTTCTTTACAAAATACATTGAAACAGTCATGTTCTTCACGACAGTACTTTGGCATGCTTTAATTTCAGCATTATTAGTCACTGCCCATATATTATACGAGTGTTGGTGGATGGAGTGGGAAGAAGAAAGATATTTAAAACAAATTACGGCTTCCTCCGCTGATGTGCATTGCCATGTCTGACCAAGAAGCCTATGACTTAACTATTCCTTCTGCATTTTAGTATGTTGTTTGCCTTAAGGCACAGTTAGTTATTCAGTTTGGATTTCTAATATTATTTTTAAAAGTCTTAGAAATGCAAAAGGAATTGGAGGCTTTTAGCAGTGTTAGTGGTGAGATACAGAGGCAAGAGATACTAGTGTAATTAGCAGTTAAATGTATTTATTAGCTCACAGAATCTTAAATAATACTCTCATACTGTTTTCCATAACTGAGGGAAGAAAATTTTATTATAATGTAAAGGTTTTTACAAGTGATTATTTTTATTTTCTTATTGTGATAAATGATTAGGCTAAAACTGGGTGGAGGGGAGGAGTAAGGATGAGGATGGACAGAAAAAACCCATCCTTACTGAGGTTCTCTACTAAATTAATCTTTGTTGTGATAAAGAAAACTTAATCATGTACATAATAACAGGATTTTCAACTTAAGGAGTTTAAATTGGAGAAATTATGCTTTTCAGTTAGGGTATGAACAGTTCTTTAAATAACAGGGTTTAAAGATGAACAGAGCTAAATCTGTGGGGTATATGAACTGCAGCCCACACTACATGTCCAGTGTAAAGCAAATCCACACAATGGGCAATTATTTACTCCAGCACTTTCAGCCTGTCTAACAGTCTGCATTTCAATTTGTCATTATACCCTGAATGTGTTCACTTCATACTGTGGTATTTGAAATCTGCCCTGTGGGTTTCATTAAACTTTCTGTAGTGGTGTTATGCATCCTACTTGTTGGTTTCATTGTTGTTTGGTGAAGATGGTCTTCCGTATCCGTATGTCTTGCCATTGTTTCCACAACCAGTTCAGAGCAGCTTCCTCAGCACAAACTGCTCTCCCTTCTCCCATTGTCCAGGACAGGGTGACTTCTGATGTTTGCTTAGCTTTATTGTTTCTTTCCCATTATTGTCAAACTCTGATGGTAATACTTGGCACTTTTACTGACGTTATAGAGTAGGATGTGATGTCGTAGAGAAGGGGACAGGGCTACCCAAATTTTCTCAATTGCAGGGAGGAGCTGCCCAGGTGTGCTGAGGGGCCTGTACTCAGGAAGAGAAACAGGGAATCCTCCACAGTGAGTAACCCCGCTTTCAAGTGCACACAGTTTCCTTCATAGCCGTGTCCAGTACAGTGTAGTATCCTCTCCTGTCCTTTCCAGTTTGCCCTTTGGAATGTTCCCAGTTTGGTTCTCTTTTCTCTTTATTTTGGATTCTCATTTTACCTTGTACTTTGTCTTCTTTCTGAAGGTTAAAGTTTCCTTTTTTGTCTCTTCACACTATTAATCTTTTCTCATCCTAGTCTTAATCTTTATACGCATTGTCATTTTTCCAATGTGTCATTGTTGTTCTGTCACTAATACATCATATCATTTCTCTCCCCTTGTGTGCAATGGCCCTTCTCCCAGGTCTGTGCAGTTTCTTCAGTCATTGCTCATTGCTATACGTTTACTCTTTCCAACCTTCTCTTCTTTCTCCTTTCAAATCACCTTTTGGTTTTCCTTTCCTGATGGGTCCCTTTTGAATCTTGCCTACTGATATACACAAGATAAGTCAGTTCAGCTCCCTGACCTTTCTAGCACAACTTTCACCTATACCTTTTCCTTTGTGGAACTGAAAAATAAAGAATAAAAAGCTCATCTGTAACAAAGAATTGAAGGATTTGGTAAACCGCATTTTGGCTATGAAAGAGAACCAGCAGGAAATCAGAACAGTAAAATGGCAGAAAAGGACTGAGCTGGTCAAGCTGTAGTGAGTAGGCAGTCTTTGGCTTTAGGTGAGCTGCTGAATTACAGCCCTGGCCAGCACCCCTCACAGTTTGACTTGTGTGATATGATGTGGTGGTGTCTCTGGTTCCTAGTGTGCAGGCATCCACATAGTAGTAGCTGCTTTCTCAATTACCATTATTTGGTAGTAACTCCTACAGAGAAGCTCAGGATGATTTGAATTATACCAAACTGATTTCATAGTTACAGAGGGTAGAAATACAAGTTCTGGCTGAGATATATTGGCAAGATGCTCTGGGAAGCTTGATTGCTGTGGCCTGTGCCACACCTTTTACTGCTGATTGAAGGGTTTTGTTTTCCAGGGCTATCAGTCTGGCATTTTACAGGAGCAAAAGAGTGGGTGTTTGTTTAACAGCATAAAACTGATGGGGACAAAAAGGAAGTGGAAAATCAGAAAAATTCTTACAAAATGGTTCTGTCTGTAAAGAGGACTGAGTTACTTTGATCTCAATTGGAAAAGGCAAAGGAGTGGAAAACTGAGCTGAACTGGAAAAATATACTGCACTCTATCATGTAGCATCTTGTGTGCTGTGACTGTTCTGACTACTTCATTTTTCATTGTTTTTAGAATTAAAAGGCGTTTTAAAATTGAAACCCCACTGTGTCAGTTCTTACAGTAGCTTCTGGTCTGCAAATGGAAGGTTTTAGCCAATTTTTTCTCTGAAGTCATGGCAAAGCTAAGTGTAGAATAGTCAAATGACCTCAAAAAATTCTAAAGTAATAAAAATCAAAGAAGGTGCTAGTGGGTATTTTTTTTCCCCCTTTGGGTCTTGTGTTTTATGTATTTCCCCTCATGCCTGAAAGAAAATCTGTTGCTGTGTCATAAAACCAGTTGCATATTCCAACTCTTTTATTTGTAACCTGGTAAGAGTTTTCCCAGGCAGAGGTAGCAGATGATGTACAAAAGCAGCAAGTAAATCTTTTTCTTGCTGAAATTTCCTGGGTTATATCTGGCCTTCCAAGAGACAGAGGACTCCAGTCTCAACACTGTCATTCCCTGTCTTTTACAAATGACTGCATAAAAACTGCATGATCACATAACCTTTCAGATTCACGGACAGCTGTGTCTTGTCACTTACATTTATTATTTCTTTTTAGGCGTTGGAAAAGTATCCCAACTCACCAATGACTGCAAAACAAATACTGGAAGTCATTCAGAAAGAAGGGTTAAAAGAAACAAGGTCAGTGTTTGTATGTTCTGTATTTCTGCTATCTCTGTGAAAATGATCTAGGAATGGTGTATAATCTTTGCAAAACTTCGAGTGCTAGCTTAATTAATTTCCAGTGTCAATGTGGGAAATACAGCTCATGGGTTTTGATTGTTAGTTCAGGGCTTTTAAAAAGGTTAGTGACTGTCTTAACTTTGTATGTTACCAAAGGAGTCTGTGGGCCAGCTCCAGTCCAATGGCCTGTCTTTAGAAAGACAGTGTCATTTTCTCAGACAGCCCAGTGCTGCATCTTATTTTTGCTTAAGGACTGAAGCTCATCATCTGGGTTACTTCTACCACTGTGTGCATGGAGAAAGTGCAAGATGAAACTTGGTGCACTTCTCACTGGGGTTTATGGTTTGGCACTTAAATCACTGTTAGGACTTGCTGGTGTTGCCTGTGATAACAGAGATTGTGCTGATAAAGGTCTGGAAATGGAAGGGGAGAGGATGTTTGGACGTTGGGAGCCAGTCTGTGTCTGCAGAGCGTGGATACAGTAATTGATACAGTAACTCAACTTGCTTGATAACAGCATACTTTGGGTGTAGATTCAAGTGATAATAGTTACCCTTTTAGAGGATAGATCTGTTATCCAGAGAGTATGGAAATCAATCAGTTGTCTTCCGTTGCTGCCTGGTTCAGATATACGTGCAGCTTTTTATTCTCAAAGGTGACTGTCTACTTGATAGGTCCTCTAGTGACCTTCAAGTGGAAACTTTGTCAGAAAGTGAAAATAAGGAAAAACTGGTTGGCTGGTGGGGGTGTCCTACAAGATGCAATTGCCTCTTCTTCAAATATTGTAGTGAAGGTTTCTGTTTTAATAAATTAATACTTGTTGTTGTCTCAAAGCATAGGGAGATGTGCTTCTATTTTAATTATGTTCTTCCAGTGTGGAACCCAAAGTTCAGAACAAGAGAACTTCAAAGTCCATGTAAAGGTGAACCAGAAGTAACCATGGAACATATTTTTACTGAATTCACTGTTGTTCCTAGGAAACAGAACAGAACACAATCTGTGTGACTGCACAGCATAACCATGCACTTCATTGTTGGCAGCCTCATAACAAGCTCATAATAGCTATATTTTGATAAAATTGCAAAAGAGATGGTATGGAAAGTGAAATTGAATTTGCCACCTTTTACAGATTTAAAGTGCTTTAGTTCCTGTCGAGAAATTGCTTTGAGTATATTTGGCAATGATTCCAGGGAAGAAAGGGGATGAAAACTTTTGAAAATGAATGTCCAAACATGTGTTATACCGCAATGATTTGCATACAGCAATAAAAATGCAAGAAAACACAGTTTTGAAAATCTGTTCTATTAAGATACTGTTTCTCACAGCAGTGAATGTTGCTTTCTTCTTATGTTTTGAGATATGAGAGGCATGGGAGAGGCTCTAATGCCTGCTAATAGGATTTTTTTGTAATTTAAAAAATTCTTGTTTTCATGATCAGTGCATGAAAAAAATTTTGCGTGGAAAACATATGGAAGGGAATGGAAGCAATGTTTTATATTTTAAACATAGAAAAAGTCAAAGCCCTTTTTAATTGCTGCAGAATGAATAGTAAGAGAAAGATTCCTTTAAAGAGGTTCCAAACTAGATGATCTTTCATTTCTTCAGTTACTAAGAAACTGAAAATTGCAGAGAAATAGTAAAGAAATTCAGATACGTTCTGATTTTTATTCATGATACGTGCAGGTATATGTGACAGTGTAGTAGATTGCCGGATGCTGTATGTGGTCGTGAGTACTGGAAAACTGAGAAGGGTAAAATTCAATGTTCTTTATACTTGAATAATTTTCATCCTAAAGTCCTTAACCTAAACATTATAAATTCTTCAACTGTAAAATGAGAAAATGTTGATTCTGTATTGATTTATAAGTATTTTAATTTTCATTTAACTTCTGATTTCATGTAAAAATTGTGTTTCTGCTGCATTTTAATATTGGTTAGGGACAAACTTTAGGAGTTACCTGAGTGCCCAACTCATTATAGGAGCCAGTAAGGAGTTTGACTTCATACACAGATTTGTTGATTGGGCCTCAATATCTCACTAATGTTTGGTTTTCACAGTACTTGAATTTAGAATCTCCTGTTCACTTTGTCCAGCTCTGCAATTTCTTTCAGTACCTTCCTGCCAGTTGGTGCCTTTGCTGCTACTAAAGATGGTCTTTCCTGGGGTCTCTGCCACAGCCAGCTAAGATGAGAAAGGGATGTAAATTTATGATGTGCAGTCACCTGGCCATAAGCAGCACAATGGCACTAGCATATTTTATTCTGTATCGATTTGTGAATTCTTCCAAGTCTGAATTTGAGCCAGGAATATGTTACTGCTCTAATACACTTTACTTATTGCTTTATACTGATTATCATTGTCAGTAGAACCTTGGCAATTACTACATTAAGTTCTTAAGAAACTCTCCTCTCTACTCTTCCATTTATAGATGAATGAGGTTAATTGTCTTAGTCGTTTTTCATATATATTCTAGCATTAATTAATACAAAGCTTTTTGCTGTAATAGTAAATCTGGAAGACTAATGTATGATTTTCAGCCATCTCATTGTCATTATGTGTAATATTTAAAAAAACACTGTCATACTATTCAGCCTGTTTTTCTTTTTTCTTGCCAGAAAGGCATCAAGTTGCACATTTATTTTTGTATTACTCATATAATTAAATACAAAAGGATTAAATTGCAAATTTACAAAGCAGATGTATGTTAGAAAATAAACGAGAAAGTTCTACTGATATACCTTGTGAGAGGTTATGCACCTACCTTGTTCTTTACATCTTGGGGAAGAAACAATTCATTTTTTGTTTCTTAAATATCTTTTTGTTGTGCTTGTTAGTTGTAAAATGGTCAGTAGGCAGGCAGTTCTTCAGCTACCTAGAAGGAGTAAAAACTTTTAAGGCAAACTTTTCAGGGATGTAGAAAATGTATGGTTTTCTTCTGTGGGAGGGAGAAGTATTTTCCTTAACATTCATGCCTGTGCTGGTCTACAGGGTTAGGCCCACAGACCTGGACACTAAAATCTCTTTACTAGGAAAACAGACAGCAGCACACTTAAGAGCACAATGCTCTGGATTTTCTGTCCTGAAAACATTTCCCCATTGTGCTGTAAATTTCTGGGCTCACCACCTGCTGTCTATATACCCTAGCATGAGCTTTTTGCTGATTTTCCTAGTATGACACAGACTACTAGTCAGAGTATGATCCACTCTCTCACCTCAGAACTCCTTTTCCCCTTGCTGGTGCCTCACTCGTTGTTTTCCATCTTGCATTTCTTTTGTTAATTATTCTTGTTAAGATCTAAAATTTTCCCTACTGAATTGTATTTAGGTTTTCTGCAGACTGTTTCTCAAATTCAGTAAAATTGCTTTAACAATGTGCTCTTGTCATGCAGCATGTGTGCAGCTTTTCCAAGCTTTAGTGGCATCTGCTTATTAGAACTTGTTTTCTTTGGAAGCATTATATTTCTTTTTTTGCTTGTGGAAGTCCATGGGAAACCAAAAACTTACTAAGTTGAGCTACATGGTACCTACTGCTGCTTCTCTAGCTATAGGATCTGGTGCTATGTCACAAAGAATATTTTGGTAGATTTGAAGTGACTTGTTCTTGAGGCCTATGTATTAGTCAACTTATTATTTGCTAAATACTTCCACATAATTTTTATGCCAAATTTGGTGGGAATTGAAATTCAGTTGCTGCATCTCTATTTCTTTGGACCTGTCTTTTAATTTTTTTTTAAAGCTAATCACTGAGTGTTTTCCATTCTTTTGGAATCACTGATATCCTCTACAAATTCTCAAAAAATTGCTATTGATAATTCTGAGGCTGATCCAGTCAGCTTTAATTATCTATGGTGAATTTCAGCACATTTAACTAATTTGAGAATACCTAATTTCATTTAATTATCATCTAATCAATTTTCCCATATTTGTTCCTCGTGTTGGTTTTAGCAGCTGTCTAATCATATACACATTTCTGATTAGGCATTAGAACTCCTGTGCTTTGAGTGTAAGTACTCAGTGCCAACCCCTTATTGAAAGAACAAGTCAGCTTCCTTTTTGCTGGTGTGCTTACAGAAATTTCTTTGTGTATGTTGTGTGGGTGAGTTTGCTGAAGTTTAATTTCCTGAAGCCCTTTTTCTTCTTTTTGTGTTCTCCTTTGTTTTCCTAAAAATGAAGAATCATCCTTTCATGAATGCTCAGTGTTTTAGCTACTTTTTCCCCATGGGTTCAAGTCAACCTTGTACAGTCCCAGAAACTTGCCAGATGATTTTCTGACCCTGTCTTTCTTTTCTCTTGGTTTTGTCCTTTTTTGTCACTACCTGGAAATTGCCTGCAGAACCACCAGAAGTAAGCTATCTGTTTGTTGCATTCTGTTTGGTGCACTACACCTTTGTGAGGAGTAGCACCACTTCAAGACCACTTAAAATTAAAAGGGAGAGAAAAATAAGATAGAAGCTGGTATGAATTAGTTGTTTGGATTAAGGAAGAGAAGATTGAATATAGGCATAGTAAATTTTCAGCTACACAAAAGAAAGAAAAAGAGTGAAGGAGTTATCCTGAATGTCTGCTATGAACAGAACAAGAAATAAGGCCTTTAAGTTGGACTAAGAGAAGATGCCAATTAGAAAGTACAAAGGGTTTGTTGTTTTTTGTGTGTGTGTTTTTTTTTTTTTTTTTTTTTTTTTTTTTTTTTAACAGGAATTATTAAGTCCTCTCATGAGCCTTGAAAGAGATGTGAAAGATTGGTAGGTCTCACCACAACCCAGTGTAGCAATGTCTGTCAGGAATTATGTAGATTTGGTTGATCCTGCCTTGAACTAGGGAAATTAGCTAGTATATCCCTTGATCCATGTTTTTCTATTAATTTTTCTAGAACAGTTTTCAGTACTTGGGCCATACACATTGTTTTAGTCCTAGGGGAGAATATCCAGCCAAACTCTGATAAATGTTTGATGCTAAT